TTGTAAAACGCTTAAACCGCCTATTAAATCGTCTAGGCTCCGATTAGACGTTCTAAACACTAGGCATTGGGTTACCGCCCGTTTAGCGCCTAGCGCTTTTTTGAACATTGGAAAATGTAGGTTCCTCTCCGTTCTTCCCTTTAGCAATATTATTTTCAAACTTTTTCTTCAATATTATTTTTTGAAATTTCTCAAATATTTTTTTCCCGAATAATAGTAAAAAGTGTATATTTGTACAAAATCTAAAAAAAATAAAACCATTCCACTTTTTGACTAGAACAATGTTGATTGATTGGTTTTACTAACACATGAAACGAATAGGTAGAATATTTCTTATTTTCTAAACAAAGAGTTGTACATATATAGACATTTATTAATGGGTTAGTTAGCTTAATAACAAAGAAATAAAAAGTAATTACAAAAATGACAAAAAAATGTTGGGATTCTTTTGCAAAACAATAAAGGGTTCGGCTTAGATGTTTGACATTTTTCTAATGACTTTATATTTCTTTGTTACTCAACCCAATTTCTCTTTAATAATTAAGACAGAAGAAGAAACCTCGTTAATCTTAAAAAGACATCAGGACTAATAAAATATTTGTCAAATCTGGATAATGTCCTAAGTATACGGTTCCCAAACATGCTTTTACTTTCCTGCGGATTAAGTGGCCTAAGTATGGACCACAAATCTTGATAGATTGCCTACTAAAGTCATACTTATTTCTTGGGAAATCAACATTCCGATCACTTGCTGCTTTTGTAACTCCCATCCGGAGTCTAGAGACCATCTCTTCCTCCAATGTGGGTTTTTGGTCCAGGTATGGCGCCTTGTTCTCTCTCGGCTAAGCTTCCCAAATCTTGATTGGCAGGACCTAATCATTTGGATGATGAGGCATACTCAAGTTGTATCCAAAATAGAGAAACGCCTTGCATGCCAAGCTACAATATACCTCCTTTGGAAAGGAAGGAACAGCCCGTGTGCACAATAAACCTCCCATTACGTTCAAAGCAGTATTCAAACAAATCGACCGTACGATTCGTGATACTATCCTTGGACGGCTTTCCCATAAGTGTTGTCAAGGATTGTTATCTCAATGGCTCACCCACATTTTATCAAAAAAAA